AGAGTTGGAATTGTATATCAATTTGATACTTGGAAGTCAATTTGATAAACGGTCCAAATAGTATAGTTTTCCAAGGAATTGCAGTGTCATTACACAGCAGCAAACTGCTACGAAGGGGCAGTCCAAGTTTAAAACTTGCAGTGACAATGTAACCAAAACTCTCTCTCTCTCTCTCTTCACTTATTCACACATTAACCAAGGGGCTGTCTTTCATCAGTGGTTTTTGGTAATTCCATGAGCAGATCTTGTTGACAGACATGTGAGGGGCTGGGGATTTAAGAGTGTGCTTTTTTTTTTTCTTTTTAATTCTAGGTCCAATAGGGTGGTGTTGGTGTACATGTTCCCCTTTATACATTTCTTATTATTTTTTTAAAACTTAATAAGTTGGTCCTTTTTTATGTAGATTTCATGCCAATATATCCAAACCATTTCTTTGTAAAACCCACCAATAATTCCTTATCATAAAAAATAACTATAAAAATAGCACTCTAACATTTAACTCAAATAATAATGCATATTTCTCCAACTTAAAAAAATCCCAATAAATAAATAACTGTAAAATCCCACAACAGTATTGATAGTATCTCCCAACTTTACTCTCAAACTACATTCATGCCCAAAATCAGGAAGAACGACTGAATTAGTTGTCTTAATCGGCATTTTTTTTTTATCATTTCTTTTATTTTCGACTTTTTTTTATAAAATATATCATTCTCTTTTTTTTAAAGTTTCTTCTTGGGCTGCTTATTACTTGAAATCAGTAATGGTAGGGTCCCCTCCTAGTTAGCTGCATGGTTTGGCCTATATGTCTTTAATTTCTCAATTACTATACATAGAAGAGGAGGGGGTGGGGGTTACAGGGCTATATATATGCAACCTTCTGGCTAATTTAGACTTAGCAGGAAGCCCCAGAACACTTTCATATTTTTTTGAATTGCGACTTTGGAGAGCCTCTTGGGAGCAACAATGGCTCTTTTCATGGGGATTCTTGGGTTGCTTGTCTTGGTCGTCTGTATCTGCACTGCTTTGTTGAGATGGAACGAGATGAAATACAGTAAGAAAAGTCTGCCTCCTGGTACAATGGGTTGGCCAATCTTTGGAGAAACGACTGAGTTTCTCAAGCAAGGTCCCAACTTCATGAAAAACCAAAGAGCCAGGTGATTGTTTTACCTCATTCTTCCTTACTTTGCTCTTTCTGTTCCCATTAGAGCAGCTTATTTGCTTTCTCTTTTTTCCTTTTTTTTTATGGATTAATATTTACTTTTTTTTTGTTACAAACAGGTATGGCAGTTTTTTCAAATCCCACATACTGGGGTGTCCTACTGTTGTTTCCATGGATCCAGAGCTCAACAGATATATCCTCATGAATGAAGCCAAAGGCCTTGTTCCTGGCTACCCACAATCCATGCTAGATATCTTGGGAAAATGCAACATTTCAGCAGTCCATGGCTCCACTCATAAGCAAATGAGAGGAGCTCTGCTTGCCCTCATTAGCCCCACTGTGATCAGGGAACAACTTTTGCCAAAAATAGATGAATTGATGAGAGCTTTCGTCGGTAATTGGGAAAACAAAGTCATCAACATACAAGAAAAGACTAAAGAGGTTTGTATGACATTCAAATTCATACAATAGCTATGAAAATTTTGAAAGTTTTTGCTTATATAGTTTCTCTGTTTTTGTTATGATATTTTGTATAGATGGCATTTTTATCATCACTTAAGCAAATTGCCCGTGCTGAATCCAGTTCAGTAGCTCAAGAATTCATGCCTGAGTTCTTTAAACTGGTTTTAGGGACCTTATCACTTCCTATTGATCTACCTGGTACAAATTATCGCCGCGGATTTCAGGTAAATTGACAATAATTTCAACTCCTATATCTAGTCTTTCGTGGCAGTTTTCGTTTATAGTGAATCAGGTAAGATTTTTCGCTGTGATTTGCAGGCAAGGAAAAATATTCTAAGAATATTAGGACAACTCATAGAAGAGAGAAGAGATTCTGAAGAATCCCACAAGGACATGCTTGGCTTTTTGATGAGAAAAGATGATAGTAATAGATACAAACTAAGTGATAATGAGATCATTGATCAAATAATCACAATTTTGTATTCTGGTTACGAAACTGTTTCGACTACATCGATGATGGCTGTCAAGTATCTCCATGATCATCCAAGGGTTCTCGAGGAGCTAAGAGTAAGTGAAAAACCAAAACATTTTTCTTAGACTTTGAACTGTTTTCTATTTTTTTTTTTTTAAAGCTGCAATCTGGTAATAGGGGAAAGTGTTATTTGTGTTAGAATTTAATTTCATACTGATTGAATACTAATTTTTAAAGGTGATTGTATGAAGTAATTTTGAAGGGTTTTTTTACTTATTATTAAATTTTTTTTTTTCAGAAAGAACATATGGCAATTAGGGAAAGAAAAAGGCCAGAGGATCCAATTGAATGGAATGACCTTAAGTTAATGAAGTTTACTAGAGCGGTAAGAAATTTGTAGTCCGTTTTTAGACAAACCATTTTTTTATTCACTTAATTTTATAAAGAAAAGTTCAATGATTTTCTGCGCCTTTTTTTATGAAGGTGATCTTTGAGACTTCAAGATTAGCTACAATTGTTAATGGAGTTTTGAGGAAAACTACTCAAGAAATGGAACTGAATGGTGAGCATTAAAATATTCAAAGTGGTATCCATAAATAGAAAATAGTTTCTTTTTGTTCTACCTTTCTGTATGAACTTTATGGGGGCTCAAGAAGCTTAGTTTGCGCCTTCAGCTTCTTCTTGACCCAGTGACCAAAAAATCTTGAAAATGGTTTGTGGGTGAGGTTCAAATCCCGTCATTTCCTCCCTTTGTAATCCAATGGATAAAAAAAAAAAGAAAAGAAAAGCTGAGTTTGCAGTTAGCAGCTCCTTTAAGAACTTTTTGAGCCCAGAAAAAGGTAATGGACATGAGATCATCTTCCCTCGGTGGGCCTTACCCTCTATGATTTACATGGCATACCTACCAATCCAGCTAGACAATCCCCAGCATGATTCATTGTCTTATTTTCAATGATTTTTGAAAAGAAAGCAAGCCTTTTCTAAAGGAAAGAAGTTTTGAATGAAAGTTTTGTTGAATTGATTTATATAATTATTTTAAAAAATAATATATAATAGATCTGAAATTCGAAAAGAAGTGCATTAAACTCTTTCTTCATCCCTGAACCGTGGTGTCCTTTGTCCCCCAAAAAAGTTTTTTATTAGGGTAAAATATATTCTATTCCTTTTTTCTTTTGAAACTTTTACCAACTCATTTTTGCCAAATGATTGGGTTTTTCACTGGCCTCTAGAAAGTTGGTCGGACTTTTTCCTAACAGTGAAACAATTTACAAGGAAATATACATGTCTAATCTTCAAATTTCATTTCTGTTTTAATTCCAGGATTTGTGATTCCTAAAGACTGGAGAATTTATGTTTATACAAGAGAGATAAACTATGACCCTTGTCTGTATCCTGATCCATTAGCCTTCAATCCATGGAGATGGATGGTTCGTAATCGATAATTTCTTTTCCATTTTTCTTTCCCATTTTCCCTACATTTTATCCATGAAAGAAGTTCCATTTTTAATCTTGAAATGATTCCTGAATGCAGGACAAGAGCTTGGAATCTCAAAGTTATTTCTTGATATTTGGAGGAGGCACCAGGCAGTGTCCTGGAAAGGAACTTGGAATAGCAGAAATTTCTACATTCCTTCACTATTTTGTAACTAGATACAGGTAAGCTGATAAATCATTGTTTAATCTGAAAAGCACAAAAATACATCTCCTGAACAAAATGGACCTGGTTAACCGGAAATTTATTAATTTTTTTCCATTTTCATTTTTGGGTGCAGATGGGAAGAAGTTGGGGGAGAAAAATTGATGAAATTTCCAAGAGTTGAAGCACCAAAAGGACTACACATTAGAGTTTCATCTTACTGACTAGCAGATGTATGTACAGAAGAGATATAGCAATCAAAAGGGAAAAAAGGATGTACAATTAATATGATCTAACAATAGTAGAAAAATCAATGACACTGATGAGTTTTTGTATTATCAGACTCTGAATTCGGAAATTCTGCCCTCTATTATTTGGTAGTATTAATTATGGCAAATTGTTATCAAACCGAGAGAATTTGGAAATAAAAATATTTTGAATCAAGAGTTTAATTGATTCATGTAAACACAATTAACATTTAAATTTTAATATTTAAAATTTTTTTTCATATTTCTAGACTGCAACCTCTCTTTTATATAAAAAAATTACGATAATCTAAACAATTCTAGATAAATTTTCCTTTCCAGGTTCGAAGTTTGGAACCTTTTAGCCCATATTCCAGTTGGACTTCAACTCTTAAATGGGTATATCTGCTCCTATAACTTGAAAAGCTATTGTAATTTTTTGTTCATTTTTTTTCTTCATTTCTGATAGTGAAGTTGGAAGAGGAGAAATTCAAATTAAAGAATTCTATTTCAGAAATTTTAGTCTGATATCCTAAGTTTGTTCTATGATTTTTCCATTTTTTTTTCTCTTTTTGGTCCATTGCCCGGAGGCATCAGCCAACATTTCTTGACAAATTCTTTCTTGGGCTAGATTTAGACCTTTCAGCCTAATGGACTATATGGTGGACCGGAGAAACGATGGGCTCTACTTAATTTGGACAGGCCAACTCATAGATTTCATTTAAGTAATCATGGGCCCATAACATTTCAAGTTTGCTCCCAAAAGTTGGCCAAATCCTGCTTCCGTATTTTTCAAAGAACCAAATGGCAACCAAGGACTCCAACCTTTGACACTATACAGAGTGGACTTCAATTATTGTCATCATGAAACCCACTACTATCAACCTAATAGCTATAAGAAAAAGTCATTTCAATTATGGGTGTTGATTCAATGAACACCTTATCATGAAATATATAAAAAGTTTCATGGATCGTGCAAGCAGCTCATTGCTACACATTATTTTATTTGGCAATCATAGGATTATTGGTTGGATAATGTTAAGGATTTATCACTTATATATGTGGGCATTTGCAATGGCTCTCTCACGCCTTGAGCTTTTCCATATTGATCATTCTTAAAGGCTTAAATTAGTGTTTTTATCATCACATTTTAATGGCTCTCAACTCTTTCTCCTTTACCGTCTCTCTGATTCTATTCTCATTTATGATTGTTATTGCTTCTGCTAGTGATTATGCTTATGGTTCAAAACCAAAAGTACTTTACAAGCCAATGTTTGATATGAAAGAAAAGCAACTCCCCATTGGTGTTGAAGGGCTTATTTTGTGTAAATCAGGCCCCAAAACAATCCCAATTGAAGGTAATCCCTAAGCCTATCCCTAGGAAAATTTCTTTTTATTTCAAGGGTAGGAACGTATATATATACAGATTCATGAGTTTATGCATACACGAATACTAAAAGCAGATTTGATATAACTGTTATTTCATGTTGAGAAATGTAACTTTTAAATGTCGAGATTTAAATTCTAAATTTATTGGATGTCAACTCTTAAAAGTAATTATATAAACCAATTGAATTAAGTTTCGGATTCATATTATATTTCACATATGATTATATACTTATTAATAGTAATTGAGTGCAGGAGCTGTTGCTAGAATAACATGTCTAGCTGTTGATGAGCATGGTTATGAGACAGCACCTTTCTCCATCTTGAGCAAAGCCACAGATTCAAAGGCTTATTACTTTGCAACTTTGTTCCCTAATGAACTCGGTAACAATCTAAAGCTTACCGAATGCAAGGCATTCCTTGAAAAATCTCCATTGGAGACTTGTAAAGTTGCGACTGATGTCAACGAAGGAATAAGTGGTGCTCCCCTCTCTTATCGTGGCCTGCTCGACAACAAGAAGATGAAGTTGTATTCAGTGCCACCTTTCATCTACACCTTGCAACCCAAACCTTCCTCTAACGATTATTAACATTATCACATTTTAGTAATTCTTCGAGAATTTCTTCTTCGCTAAAAGATTTTTTGTTTTGTTTTGCTTATGATATTCCTGATTTTGTCAAAGAAAATTTTCTTTTTGGATGAGAAAATGGGTTGCAATTGCTCCCATAGTTGATTTTATTTTAAGGTTGTGAAATGAATATTTGGGTGATTTGCCTGGTAGAATAAATATTTTTGGTAGCATCTTACAGGAGGGAAGAAATTGCAAGCACGTGGATTTAAATCCATACCTGCTGTGATTGGATGAATTAATTGATGTAAAATTTGAGTTTATGATATAATAACCTTTTCTCTTGTTAATTAAGATGAGAGAGGCATTGTTCAGCAAAATTGTTCGGTTTTTATAAGTTTTGAAGTTATTTTTTTTAGTTTTTTGATGATATATGTTTAGAGCTATTCATGGCCCAGACTGATTTTGAATCTAATTCAGATTTCGTATTAATAACTTACATATTTGTTTAAATTTGACTCAAATTTCAAATTGTTTTTTGAAATTTGTCTCATATTAAAAAAATAAATTTTAAACATCCTTATTAAATTTAATTTATATATAAAAAATTAAAAAATAATTAAATTAAATTTAATAAGATCATATTTAATTTACATATATAAAAATTAAAAATATAAATTATATATATAAATTAAAATAAAATTATATAAAAATAAAAATTAAGTGTAATAAAATATATATATTTTTATAAATATGTGAATTAATTTTTATATAATTCACATATATATAAATAAAAAATATATATAAGTGAATTTAGGTTGGTTGGGTTAGATTTGAGTTTTAAATTTTTGTTCAAAATCTAGTTTGAAATTTAAATGGATTTAAATATTGTGTTCAAATTTATGTAATGGGTTTTAATTTTTTTTATTCAAATTCTTTCAAGATTTGAATAAATCTTCGGATTTAAATAAATAATTTAACTCTTAAATAAGTTTATAGGTGTCAATGAAAATTCCAATTTATAGGTAAATAATTAGGTGCAACTATATCAAATAATAATTTAAGATGGATCAATCGAATCCATTTTACTAGGCCAACTATATTAAATATAAAAGTACTGTGCTGATTTTAGATTGTCAACGACTTTTGAGTAGGCAATGGCATTGTCACATGTTACATGCTTGTAGAGAAATCTTGCGAGTTTTAATTTAACTTATATTTAATAGATAAATTGTGTTATAAATATTTTAATTGATGAATTTATTTGTATTAATAAATTTGATTTCAGTTGAAATTTTATAAATGACCACCGGACTTGTTTAGCAGCCAGAATGAAAGGAAAAAAAAAGATGCTGGTTTGGAATGTGGACCTAGTTTGGTCTGTATTTTCCAACTTGTTTAAGTGGGAAAGCGCCCAATTTTTGATGTGTTTACAAGGAACTTCCTTTGACTAGAACAGGCTGCTTTACTGCCTAACCAAGCTTTTTATTTTAATTCTAATTAAGTTTTTTATTTTTTATATCAAAACAGGCTGTTATTTTAAAATAAAAAAATTATATGTTTTGAAATTTGAATTTAAATTTGTTAAATGTTGTAATGATTAGATACCTAATTGAATTAAATTGTAGATTTGAAATCTCTTCTCATTGACTAACCAGAGTTGATGAAAAGACATTAACCTAGGCAGTGAAATTCTTTTCCTTTTCAAAGGGGATTGAAATTAGAAAAGAAAAGGGGTCAAGCTTTATGTTGGACTTTTAAGGAAGCACCAAGAATGTAACACGTGTTATCATCATAACTAACAAATTAATTTGGTTCCTCAAAAACTCAAAAGTAAATGAATGGTATTATTACTACAAAAGCCCACAATTAACTGCGAGAATTAAGACAACAAATTTTCAAATTGGGATTTTGTCGAAGACACGTGTCTGATTTTTAGTCCCACAAAAACCAAAACCTCTCTTTTAAGCTTTCCACTTTTCACTGCGCATCAAAAGATTCAAAAGATAGAAGCCCCCTCCTTGTCGGTGGAAAATCTACAATTTTATTTCAATGGCTTTTTTTTTTATTCTTTTTCTATTTTTTTTTTCTTTGTTAAAACGCCATACGTCATGACCTACATGAAGCCAGCATTTGTCAGTTAGCTGGCTTTCTTCTAGCTTTGTTTAAAAAATCCATTTATTTTCTCGAGTTGTATTACATGAATTTATATTTTAAATTATTTTAATTTATCTTTTCATTTATTAAAAATTAATAAAACCTCTTCTAAGTTTCATGAATTCATATTTTTTTGACAAATTAAAATGAATATATTATAAAGATTTAAAATGAATGATTTCCCTTTTAGAATTTTATATTTTTATTCCAATATTGTTCGACTACTCACTAATGAATAAAGTATAAGATTTTGCTCAAAAAATTTTAAAAATTAGATACTGATTTTTATAAAAGCTTAATTCGATATTATATATTTTCTCTGTATTATTTACGCAGGCTATTATCAATATTCATTTTGATTTAAAGAGGACAAAATGTAATACTTATTCTAATATAAGTGGGTTTTAATTCTTACTCAAACTATAATTTAGTTTAAAGTAAAAAAAAAGGAAATTAATTTAAAAATATATATAAATATACCGATATTCTACAATTAAAATTATGATTAATAGTTTTATAGAAAAATCTAGGTTAAAATAATAAAAATTTTCTATATTTTATTATTTTATTTAGATAAATTCATATATTTTTATTATATCCAAATAAGCTCTTAATCTTTACTTTATGTTAAAATAAGTACTTTAACTTTAATTTGTATCTAAATAAACTTTTATCTTTTAATTTATACATAAATAAATCCTTAATATAAATTAATATTTTATTTGAAATAAAAATATACTTGAATATAAACCAAAAAATAAGAACTTATTTAGATAAAATAAAAATATCAGAATTTATTTAAATAAAAATGGTAAAATTGAGAAACTCTTTTAATATTTTAGCCAAAGATCTAAAATATTTTCTCCTTCAACTTTAAATGATTAAATATTTAATTAAGAATCTAACATTTATGTATCTTCTTAATTAAAAATTTTATTTTTAATTTGATTCAATTTAAGATTAAAAAATTTTGAATGTGTTCAAATAATGATTAAGTTACGACTGTAATTTTTATATGCAATACTAAATTTATTTTTTATTTATATTTACCATTAGCTATTAAATCCAATATAATAAATTACGAAATGAATAACAAAACAATTAAAACATGAAATACTTAATACCTAAAATCAAATCTGTTGATAACAAGAAACTCAAGACCAAATTCAACGCGCTGTTCGGGCTCCGCTATGCTAATTTCCACCACCCAACCCCTTTTTACCACTGCCATCCTTGACGATCCCGCCAATTCTTATTACATCTACCGTTCCCTCTTCACCTCAAAAAACTTTTATCTCACCTTTAACTCGGACCCCAACTCGTCTGACTTGACTCAGTATGGTGTTCGGGTCAAGTACAAATCATTCATTAAGATCATTTCTAAGGAACCTAGATTGTGGAAATGGTATGTAACGCATGGCCGTTTCGTGATGATGCCTGAAGTGTCGTTTGAAGAGTTCCAAGTTGGATCCCAGTTCTTTGTGTTGACTTAGAAACACGCGTTATTTGTGATAAAAGATCAGACGCTTTGAATGAAATTTAAGTTATCGCATTATCATGCCAACAAGTGTTACTCAGATGAGCATTATTTTTCGAATTTGTTATCAATGCAAGATCATAATAGGGTGACTCACTGTACCTTAACTCAGGTTAATTGGACCGGAACAATGGCGGGTCACCCCCTTATGTATAAGCCAAAAGAAGTGTCAGTTAAGTTGATTTATGGGTTGAGGAAGTCGAATTACTCGAGTTCTTGCTTGTTTGCCAGGAAGTTTTTGTTGGATTGTTTAAGACCTTTGATGGATGTTGCTGATTCGATCATTTTTAGTGATTGACATTCTTCTTGGTAAGTAAAAATTCTTCTTTTTTTTTTTTTTATTTAGTTGGTTAAAGAATTGTACTTGGATTTAATGATAATTTTTACTTTTATTAAAAGAGTGCTTTTACTATTTACATATAAAAAATAGTGATTCACGTTATTTTTTGGCACGTGTAATTCATAATCATAATGAAACTCTTATTTGAACGTATGCGAAAATTTTTAACCTTAAATTAAATCAAATTAAAAATAAAATCTTTAATTGAGAAATTACACAAATATTAAATACTTAATTGAGACAGATCTGATAAATTTTTGAACATTAAAGGAATATAATCCACTCATCTAGTTTGAGCTGTCCCCATTCTCTCACTCCAAGCCTCTAGTTATTGACCAAATTCATGAGAAAAAGGGTCAAAATTAGATTCAAAATGGCTCACATGATAGAAGTTAGTAGGCTATCTTCCATTTATAGCAGCATATCTCCTTTCTATGGTAGGTTGAAATGCATATATTTCTCTCTATGGTAGGTTGAAATGCATATAATTGTTGCCTTTAATTCTCATTTTTATACAACAGTTTCCCTTCAAAATAATTAAAATTCTAATAATTTTGGACCTAATTTCAAGTAGTTATTTATCATTTACATAAAAAGAAAAAACTTTAAAAAATAGTAAGAAAGTGCGCACTTTCGACAGTCTTTCAACAAATTTTAATTTGAAAAAACAAAAAGAGAAATAAATAAAAAAAAAGAAATAGTTGGTGAAAACTAATTGAACTCGAGTTTCTTTAATGGAGAGTTTTTTTTATACTTTTTTTCTTTTTAAGCTCTAATGATTAGGGTATCCGTTGCGAATAGTTAAAAATGTGAAACAATGATTTTAAAAAAATTATGAAAATAAATTAATTCATATAATTATTTTTACAAAATATTATAAAATATATTTAAATTTTAAATTTTAATATCTATAATTTTTTTTTTGTTTATCTCAAATTACTTATTGTTTTAAAATATATATATATATATACATATAAAAAAATAAAA